GAAAGAAAAGAAAGAAAGGGAAGAAAGAAAGAAAGAGAAGGTAAGAAAGAAAGAAAAAGAAAGAAGGAAAGAGAGAAAGAAGGAAAGAAGGAAAGAGAGAAAGAAAGAAAGAAAGGGCACTGCATATGCCCTTTTAACTTTCTCTTAGGTCTTTAATTCCAGACAACAGCCATTCATGGGTTTATTCTACAGAGCTTCAGTTATTTAAAATTTAGGTTGGTTTTTTATCTTAATTATAGGCTAGGTACTTTTTACAACTTTTTCCCTTGGACTTATTTATTCATTTTGCATACTTTATGAGCATAGGCCATCTTATTCAAGTTTTTGATAGCTTGCTCCTCAGAGAGTTAATTGCCCTAAGAGTCTCACTAATCCTAGCCCAGTGAACCCAAAGGACTCAGTCTTCAAAAATGCATGTATTAATATGAAAATCCCACCAAAGAGCCACACATGCCGATGATAAAACCCTAGCTCTAAAATGTGCTCATATGTCATAAAACTAGACTCATAAAACTAGCACTGTCCAATAGAATCATCCAATGACAGAAATGTTCTATGTCTGCAATGTCCAGTACAGAAGACACTAACCACATGTGATTTTTGAAGATCTGAAATGTAGCTAATATCAGCACAATTTACAATAGCCAAGACATGGAAGCAACCTAGGTGTCCATAGACAGATGACTGGATAAAGAAGATGGGAATATACACAGCGGAATATTACTCAGCCATAAAAAAGAATGAAATAATGACACTTGCAGCAACATGGGTAGATCTAGAGATTATCATACTAAGTGAAGTAAGTTAGACAGAGGAAGACAAATATTATATAAAAATTATTTACATGTGGCATCTTAAAAATAGTATGAATGAACTTATTTACAAAACAGAAACAGACTTACAGACGTAGAAAACAAACTTAGAGTTACTAAAGGGGAAGGGGAGGAGGGATAAACTGGGAGTATGGGGTTAACAGATACTCATTACCATATATAAAATAGATAAACAACAAGGATTTATTGTATAGCACAGGGGACTATATTCAATATCTTGTAATAACCTATAATGGAAAAGAATATAAAAAAAAGAGTATGGATATATACATATATATAACCGAATACTTTGCTGTACAACTGAAACTAACACAAAATTGTAAATCAACCAAACTTCAATTTAAAAATTAAAAAAAGAAATGTAGCTAGTGTGGGCTAAAGAACTGAATTTGTAACTTTATGTCATTTTAATTAATTTAAATTTTCCTACCACATAGGACAGCACGGAAGGAGTCTCTTGAATTAGCCCATGTGGTCTTTTGAACTAGAGGAATTTCAAAGCCGAAAATGTCGCAGGGGGGCTAAATGGATAAGATTTCATTGGGCGATGTCTAGTTTTGAGTCCATAACCTGTGGGGAAAAGTGTCCCAGCTTCTATGTAAACTGGGCAAATCTACTTGAGTGGTTCTCAGCTCTGCAGCTTCCTCAAGACTTTTGAGTGATGTTTGTCTATGTATGACTTAGAGCATCCTCTCACAGGTTCTGCAGAGGGCTGGAGAGTTCCAGAGACCTGGGCTGGTGTTGAATCACTCATTCCGGGATGTTGCTGAAACCGTCTCTTACCCAAACCACCCTCCCCCTAGAAGGATGGCCTAGCTTCCCTCGCTTTACTAGTTATGAACTCGACACTCAAAACACTTGTGAATAAGTTCATCTGTGTCATTTTTTTAAGATTCCACATATAAATGATATCATATAATATTTGTCTTTCTCTGTCTGATTTCACTGATTATGATCATCTCTAGGTCCACCCATGTTGCTGCAAATGGCATTACTTGACTCCTTTTTATGGTTGAGGAGTATTCCATTGTGTGTGTGTGTGTGTGTGTATATATATATATATGTGTGTGTGTATATATATATATATATATATATTAAAACTTTTGTATTTAATCATCTGACAAGGAACATTGAAGTTGCTTCCATGTCTTGGTTATTGTAAATAATGCTGCTAAGAACACTGGGTTGCATATATACAGACACAAATACATAGATATAGATGTATAATTGAGTCACTGTGCTGTACTCCAGAAACGTTGCAAATCAATTAGACTTCAATTAAAAAAAATCTTTTGAGCCCTCCATTATAAGAAAAGTACTCTGAGGAGGGTGGGTACTGCTCAGTGAAAAAAAGCACTCTGATATTTGGTCCAAAATAGTTTCCCTTCCTCAATTACGAGTAAAGCTAAGGCCATTTTTTTTTTTTGCCTTCAAGAGAATATGCTTTAAAGCCATCAGCAAAGAATACATACATTTTTTCTATCATTTCCATCCTCCTACCCTTTCTTTTAAATTGAAGTATAGTTGACATTCAATAAATACAATTTTTGAGTGGTCCAAAAGGTAAGACATTTATTGTAAAGACCAGAGACATGTGCCTTCATGTTCCAATATGCCAATCTTTTGCACAATTTAGTATTTTTATGGTGTCCACAGGACAGAATGTCCTGAGTAAGCCTGCATTGATTGATAAGTAATACTTCACCAGATATATGAGTGCACAAATTTACAAACTAGATATTAGTAGGGTACCATTCCCTTTACAAAAGTATTACTTGCTTTCAGAGAAATCTATATTCACTCCTTTAAATCATCATAAAGTCACATTTAAATGTTCACAAAATCGAAGTTACTGGTTCTATGCTATATGGTTCTGAATAACTTAGAACTCACCTATGTATCTCCTCTGCCTACTAAGAACAATCCAAAAAGGAGGCAAAGCAGTTCCCAAAGGATACTGATGGAAAAGGACTCTGATTGGAGTCATATTCACACATCTTAATAGAAACGTAACTCTATTTAAAGTGACAAATCCTTGATTTTACCAAATATTTAGCTGGAGGGATGTATTTGCAAAACGTGTCATTTTATTATGCATTTCTTATGGGGGCTACCCACTTTCATCCCCTGCTTTAAAAGTGACTGTTATTTCTAAAGAGAGAGGATCTGGAAGGTGTTCTTTCTCGCACAGCCGTCAGGAACTGCCTCGTCAGGAGGTCAGTTCCACCTTCTCTGGCCTTTTCTTATCTTCTTTGGATCGACTCACAGATACATCCAGATCCCTTCAAGCAAATAAAGAGCTCTCACCTTACACCGGCCTGGTTGGCCTTGGTCAAGCTGCAGGTGCCTCCTGCGTAACGCCTGGACCCAAGCCCAGACCCTGCTTTTCATTTCCCGTATTCTTTGGCTTAATTTCATTTCTATGTGAAACCCTTAGCCTGGATTCCAAGACCTCTTACTTAGTTTCCTGAGCTCTGGCACACTGTCTATCAGACGTAACCTTTCTTCTGTCTGGATTATTTTTTCTACCTGTTCCTTTCTGCCTTAACTGAATTTCATGAAGGTGACTCTTTTGCCACCTTGACTGGTGTTTCTGCATTTACTCTCCTGCCTTCCTAGCCATTGTTTTCTGGAGTTGACTTAGAAAATAGAAGTGCAAAAGCAAACTAAGACTCAGAGAGATGAAGCGACTTCCCCAAGGTCACACAGCCAGTGAAGGGCAGAATGGGTTTATGAATGCATCTACTCCTGCCATGCTTTCTGTCCCTGAGAGTTAGGAAGGCCCAGTGCTGAGGGCCACACTTTGCACCAATAGTGAGGGTGTCCCGGTCTCCTGACTGGCAGCCTAAAGTCCTACCTTTCTACACTATCCTCACCTGAGTGAAAAACAAAATGTGTAAAAGCAGAAAGCTAAACCTCAGGAACTCCCTAAAGAAATACAGACATAATAAAAAAAATTAGTTTGGATTTACAGTTCCTTAGGCTTAACAAAACCTCTACCTTGATTTATGCTCTATCGAGTAATAAGATTGTCTTACAAATGGGTAATTCTAAACATTGCTAGCAACATAAAAACTTTCATAATCGGTAAAGGATTTCCATTTTGACTTTTGATGATCATGATTTAATTGTGAGGAATGTGATGACTGATTCGTTTTTCACCTGACAGTAAACAATGTCACTTAACTGAGTCATCGGAATTTATTATTAACTTAACTGATATATTTTAGCTTTGACATTCCCAGGACAACCTGTTCTTGAAAAATGGGCCAAACCTGATGACTTATGTTCCCTGGAAAGGTGAGCAGATTATCTAAACATTCTATCACTCTCTCAGGGGATATTTGAATTTGCCAATCTGGAAGAAATGCTAACTTTGACCAAACCCAACAAGCCACAGACACAAGAGAACTGATTTCAGGAGCAATGCCTTGAATCTTTAAGTCTCTCTTTTTATGGAATTGTGCTAAACAGAATCGTAATCTGCAGATTGGGATAATACACAGCCCAAAACAAAAAATACTACAAATGAGCTCATGTACTCCTGAGGAATATCTGAATAGATCTGAACAAGCAGCTGACATCATCTCTCTAATGTGTCTGGATCAGGGGCACAGGAGGGCGGATATTACAGACATTCCACAAGTTAATGGAATGAAGAAAGTTTCCAAGTATATCTGGGGGAGACTGATCTACAAAACGTATTTTGCAGTAAAATATGTGTTAAGCCTCCCTGAGTTCCACAGCTGCATCACTCCCCAGGAATGGAGAGACAATGTGACAGTAGTTTTTGCTTTCTGAGTGACTGGTTAAGTAATATAAAGAAGACAGTCACTTTTTACTGGGCTCCATGCAATCTGCGATCTGTGGCCATGTGCATGTAAACATCAAAAAGCCCAAGCTTCACAACTGCTATACTGGGCTCCTCTCATTATCAGAGGACCAAACTGGTGTAAGCTGAGATGATCAGCGGAAGGGCAGAACAATATATCAAAGGCACCCATCGACTAATGCAATTTGGAAGAAGAAGAAAAACAACAAACAACCACCTAGGAAAGAGGACTTTGGGCATTATTCTGTTGCAGGAGAATGGGTCACAAGAGGATGGTCATGACCAAGGTCTCAGGTGGG